AAGGGAATTTGGAAATTGAGGAAATGCAAAAGATTCCCTATGCATCAGTTGTAGGGAGTTTGATCTATGCCCAAGTATGTACGCATCCAGACATAGCATATATAGTTGAGGTTCTAGGCAGATATTTAAGCAATCCAGGAATAGACCATTGAAAAGCAGCAAAAAGGGTCATAAGATATTTAAAGAGAACAAAAGATTATATGCTCACATATAGGAGGTCAGACCAGTTGGAGATCGCTGGGTTTTCTGACTCAGATTTTGTAGGATGTCAAGAATTTGTAACTTGCTATGAGGTATCAAATCATGGAATATGGCTGATAAATTTTGTCACAGGGCTGCAAATTGTGAAAGGCATTGAAAGACCACTTAAGTTATATTGTGACAATAAATCAGTTGTATTGTTAAGGAAAGAGTACAAAGTGGACAGATTTTCATAGAACACTTAAGGTAAAACTCCATGATACCATATCCTCTGACTAAAGGACTTCCGCCCAAGGTCTTTCATGAGCATTTTGCTCACATGGGTGTTTTACAGTTTGAGGAATTTGTGGTTTAGTGGGAGTTAGTCACTTTCATATATTTTATGTTCTATGTTTAATTTCATATATGTATACATTGTTTTTTTTGGACATATTTGGTTATCTATAGATATGCGGTTTTTTCGTTCATTCATTACACTTTGTACATTAAGGATATTATATCGATCTCAATAACTTAAAGTTTGGACCAGTTGAAAATAGACGTGTACAGATCACCTTCACGTAATTTTTCATGCTACACATTTCATGATGAATCCATGTCATTTGGTTATGTTAGGATGAGTAATCATTGTTGGTTTTAGTTGCGATGAAAATAAAATTGTGTAGAGACCATAGAGCAATTTCTAATTTGATGAGGGGCCAAATTGGAAATACTAAAACTTAAGTAATTAACCTAATTCTGGTTATCTAAAGGGTCATGGTCCCCTTCTGGGAGCACACACACAGAACGTAAGTATCAGTCCCGTTCCTTTCTTTCTATCCCCATCAAGAGAGAAAATCAAGAGGGAAATACAGGTGCTCTTCAGGTGGAAGACCATAAGATCAATATAGTGCTCTACAAAGACATCATCGTTATGGCTAATTCAGGTACGCTTTCGCATTCAGTTTACAACATGTTTATCAGTATGGGATTATGTTTATGTTTGATTGTTAGAATCAAAATCAGGATTATTATTATTATTAATTTTCCAACAATAAAATCATCATCTTGGTCTTGCCAAAGATAAATTTCTTTCTAATTTTGATCAATATAGATGTTTGGTTGTTCAATTGATTTATTTGTGTTTTACTCGACATGAATTGACATATTGTATGCATGTTCTTTCGTAATTTGTGCAACAGTTACACGTGGAACATTGAAAAGTTGTTCTTCATGTTGTTCAATATTTGAAATGAATTTTTGGACTATGGATTATCTGATATGATTCTAACGATATGAAACTTTATGGATGGTATGATGTAGATTATGCGACATGTCATCTCACTCGTAGGTCTTTTACAAGTTAGGTTATTTTATGGGGAAATTTCCTAATTTCTTTAGAAGACAAAAAATAACATACAATATATCATTCATTGGCTAAAGCAAAATATTGTTCAATGACTACTATCACATGTGAACTAAAGTGGCTGAAAAACAACCCTCTGACCTTGGTATTTCTAATTCCATACTCATGCACTTCTATTATGATAGTCAAGCTACTTTAAACATAGCTAAGAATCCTATGTTTCATGAATGCACCAAACATATTAGAATGGACTGTCATTTTGTTCATAATAAGATACTTCATGAATATTTATAACCATTTTATGTTCTCACTCATACACAACTTGTAGACATATTTACCATAACTTTACGACATGCACAATTTTCTCCCTTACTTGACTAGTTGGACATTCAAAATCTTCATGCACCAACTTGAGTAGGAAGTGTCAATACATGCATGATCTTCCAAAAGTTGTAGAATATTTCTAGGGTGTTTTGAATGAGGTTCTAAGAATGTGTACATGAGTTCTTGTGGGAAGTGGCATGTTTGTTAACCATTAGGCTAAGTGTAAACATGTTATGTGGTGGAGTGTGATGATAACATTTTGATCGCACAAAATACCTGATAAAAAAAAATAAACAAATTGTTAAACTAATGCAGTATAGTTAACTCGTGTCGAATGTTACAAGGACATAATTATAAGAACGTACTTATTACCACACATCATTTTCTCTAAAAACAATAAATAGAGGGGTTAATGATAATAAAATGAAAGAGTGAAAAAAGAAATTGATGCAAAATGATAAAAATTAAAATAAAATTATATTCTTATTATACCTCTATTTATAGAAGATTGAACAAAAGAAATTAAGCCTAAAATTAAGTACAATAAAATCAAATGTTTCCCAAATTAAAAATTGAAAAATTAGATTGTTGTGATGGTAAATTTTTGGGACTGATTTGGAGAAAATAATTCATCTCTTCCTTCCTATTTTGAGTTATCCAATGCTGATTTGCATTGAATTATTGATTCTAGCTGGTTTTTAATTTAACTAAATTAGATTCCTGCAATAGTTAATTTGTTTGATTCGAAATTTTCATTTGTAATATTGAACAAGTGGGCTGCACAAGTAAATTTAGGTTTCCAAAAAGAGTGAAATTCGATTGCATTAATTTGGATTTTTATTTTCATTAATTTTGCCCATTTCAAATTAGCTTTCTCCTAAAAAAAAAGAAATATGCAATGGATGTATGCATGCATTTTTTATGCTAAAATTATATAAAATGCAACAAATTAAGAAAATTTGAATTATGCAACACTTTTAATAAAAACATATTAAATACATGATTTATGAAAAAAATAATTAACTTAAAAAATGGTTTTATATTAAGAAATAAAAGGTAAAATATACATGTGTGTTTGTGAATATGTATATATATTGATTGAGTCACAACTTTGAAATAATATGCTAATGTATATTATTGTTAAAATACTAGTTTAAATTACATATTATCATTTATATTATTTTTAATTGTGATTATCAGTTTTATACCGATACAAATGGTGTATAAAGATTAGTTTCTCACCAAAAAGTAGATTGAGTGATAACTTACAAAATTTGTCTTTAAAACTGTTTTGTTTGTCACAAGTAATTATTGTAAGATGTTAAATGTAAATAATTATGATATATTTAATATTTTTCCTTATATTATTAAGAAGTAATAATTTCTAACAATAATAAATTAATGAATTCAAATGATAGTCTCAATAAAAAAAATTGTTAGTAGAAATAGTTAAATTCGATTAATATATAATTTTTTTCTTTGAAAATACCTATAATTTATTAATAAAAAAAACCCTCGTTAACTAGATAAAATAAAATCTTTGTATTATAATATTTTAAAAAAGGTATTATACATTCCCCATTAAATAGATTTCAAACTATTCATCTAAAATCTAAAAACCTTGTGTACATAATTTAAATTTAATTAAAACTATATATATATATATATATATATATATATATATATATATATATATATATATATATATATATATATATATATATATATATATATATTACATTCCCCACTGAAACAAGTTATATACTTTAGTTTAGTTCTAAATGTAACAAATAACCTGCAAATTCTACTAAACAAACTTCAACAAAAGTTTAAATAAAAAAATTTTAAAAATACGCAAAAAAATATAATCTTTTCCATTTATTTAAATGAAGAAAAAAATTTAGGCCAAATCTATTTATCTTTTGAAGATTATCACTTGTAATGATGAATATTATAGACACTAATTAATAATTAATGTATGGAATAAAAAATTAAATGATAATTTTTAGTGTTAGAATATATCTTGAAATGGATTTTAGGAAAAAAAAATAGCGATTAAAAATTTTAAAGAGATGAAAATAAATAAATAAATAAAACTATACAGTCTAAAATAAAAAATCATATAATTTAAAAATGAAAAAGTGATTTTAAGTTTTATAAAAAAGAAAATATTTTTTGAAAAACAAAATAGAAACTCGTAACTTTGCAGAACATATTTAAACTTATGATTTATTACTCGATGAAATATAAAGGAAATAATACTATTTTTTTTCTCATAAAATTACCCCACATCCAAAGTGGTATAAAAGTTCAGATTAAACTCTTAAAGGGAATTAGTTTATTAATTTAAGAGAAAGAGTGCACACATTTTTACTTCGTAGGCTAGCTCGTTTTAAAAAGCATCATCGTTGTGGTGAATATAAAATTGAGTTATGCACATCAAAATATAATGGCACCACCCTCTGTTAAATTCGTTTCTCGATCTACTCTCCCATCAAATTTTTTTTTAATTTGTTACGTATTTAAAATACCATTTAATCTTTAAAATCAAAACCCTAAATTTTAAACCTAAAAATATGAGTTCCGTTTAAATTTAATAAACTTGAAAAAAAAAAAAAAAAAAAAACTGTTTAGTGTGGAAGTTGATGCAGCCTATGTTGAAAAATCTACTGTTGGATTGGGTTTCGGCCTTTTGGGTTCAATGGAGTGTTGGACAATACTATTGAAACCCCTATTATAAAATCTTGTATACTAACGTGTATAATGTTAAAAAAAAAAAAAAAAAAAAAAAAAAACTTTAGACCATTCTTTTCTACGGCTCTCCAGAATTTTCCAGCACAGGCATAACATGTCCTCTCTCTAGAATCTTCCCTCCACAAACTACCAACACCAATCTAAGCACATAACTCAACTTCCCTAAAAATATCTTATGATTCCGTGACACCCTTTTGCAACAGCATGCATCCAATCCAATTCAAACGTAGTCACAAAGTAAAAAATTCCTTCACTTCAACACACACATAAAAAACCCATTAACCACACTAGATTATTGTTTAAGTCTTGTGCTTGTGTAACTCAGTCTTAAACCAAACACTTCTCTTAATTTCCTTTATCTTCCAGTGTTTGATTCATGGAGGGGATCAAAGTGAAGGAGGAAGAAACAGTGACATGTGGTGGTGGTGGTTCATCACCATCTTCATCTTCAAGCTTTTCCCCACTACCTATGGAAGGGTTGCACGAGGTGGGTCCCTCACCATTTTTGACAAAGATCTTTGACATGGTGGAAGATCCTTCCACAGACTCTATTGTGTCATGGAGCACTACTTGCAATAGCTTTGTTGTGTGGGATTCTTACAAGTTTTCGACTAATATTCTTCCTCGTTACTTCAAGCACAACAATTTCTCCAGCTTCATTCGCCAGCTCAACACCTATGTAAGTACTAAGGACTTTGATGTTGTATTATTTTGTGTACGAGTTGTATTAGGTCATTATTTTGTTCATGATCAAGTTTTCATTCATTTTGATTGGTTTAATGCTCATTTTGATCAGGTAATGTGGTGGGGAATTTTGTTGATTTTTTTTTTTACTATTATTATTTAAGGGAAAGGTTTATACTAGTTCTTGGAGGAGAAAGGGTTCATGAGAATGAAAGGGAAGGGTGTCAAAATTAAAGGAGTGTCTATAAAGGTGCATTTTCCTGGGCACATATATTGTAACTATGAATTTAATTCCTTTAGAAAAATGTTTTCTTTATGCTAACTAGTTTGCTTCAATTTTGTAACAAAAATGCTTCCGGTGATTTACATAACATCTATAAAGTCTTGATAAGAAGCCAGGTAGAATGCTTTGGAATAACACTGCTAAACAGTCCTTTATTCTGAAAGCATTTTTAGGGTTTAGCTAATTAATTCAAGGATACTGGTGAGATAAAATGATAACTTTTTAGCATTTAAATTAATAAAGGAATAAAACATTTATTTTAGTTTATGAAGTATCTTCTCTCTTCTCTGTTCTAAAATGACCGGACTCTGCAAGATTTAAAATTAGTTGATCTTCTCATTATACTGAAGTAGTAACTTTTTATTCATAATTTGTTATCAAATTAATTACTAAACTAATGCGTTTCATGTATAATCTTTAGGTTAATGCATTTCAGTACAATTCAGAGACTAATTTAAATGATTTTTTCAATATTTAACTGACTATGTAACATGGTTTCTAATGCTTTTAAGACTATTTGAATATTTAACTAACATATTCTGACTCCACAATCTCTTGTCATCAAATGAAATGTTAATGGAAGCTTAGTGAAATTGATAGTTATTTATACAGGCTCCATAAAATATCATTCTATGATTTCTTGGACTTGCTTATGCCATCATGTTTATTTATGGGTTTTTTATTGAACTTTATTTTCAGTCCCCCAATTCAATAATTTTTTTAGGAACCAAATTCAGTATTTAGTGTTTGCCTGTTTGGGAAATAGTTATTTGTGGGAATGCTCTCTCCAACTCTTTTTTGATCATTTTGCAGAAAGTAGTTACTTCTCAACAAAAAAGTAACCAAATATTTTAATGACTTTTCATAATATGGCCTGCTACCTCTGAAATTTAGAATAAGTACCACCCAGTTTGGTCCTATCAGATTATGAATATTCGTGAATAGACCTTAAACATGATTAGATTCAAATTGACATTGAAGCAATAATTTGATGTCATGTTTCAAGTTTAATCTATTCTTCATGTTTCTTGCTTTTTGAAACATAAGACTATGAATGTTTAGTATCTGTTTCTTGACTAATTGGTTGAGTGTGAGATATTCTAGAGTTGATAACTTCTTGGAGCTTTGCATTGATCAATTACCTCTTACGTTGATCATTGGCCAACATCCTTGAACTAATTTGGTTCATCTTTGTATTCTTCCGTTTTGGTTGTGTGGAAATGAACACAGGGGTTTAGGAAAGTTGATCCTGATAGATGGGAATTTGCAAATGAAGGATTTTTGGCAGGACAAAGACACTTACTGAAGACCATAAAGAGAAGAAGAAAAGTTTCGCAGAGCATGCAAGGCAGAGGAGGAGATGAAGCATGCGTTGAGGTGGGGAAGTTTGAACTAGAAGGTGAGTTGGAGAGGTTGAAAAGAGATAGGAACATTTTGATGACAGAAATTGTGAGGTTAAGGCATCAACAGCTGAATTCAAGAGACCAATTGAGTGCCTTAGATGCCAGATTGCAAGCCACGGAGAAGAAACAGAAGAAGATGATGACATTTCTTGCCAAAGCACTGACTAATCCATCTTTCATGCAACAATTAGTCCATAAGACCCCCCAGAGCATAGAAATGTTGGATGTTGAAATCAATAGGAAAAGGAGACTAATTGCTAGCCAAAGTGTGGAGAACTTACAACAAGATGATCCTGTAACATTGATGGAGCCTGAGATGGACACTTATTTCTCACCAGCTTTTGATAGTGAACTTAGTAATGAGATCAAAGAGCACGCATTAGGTTCAGATATAACAGCTGGTGAATGTGATATTATTGGTGACACAATATTGGAGGACTTGCTCGTCAAAGACTTGGTTACGGGGGATCCAAAGGATGAAGTCTTCATTGGTGATTGTTCACAAATTGATGTGGCAGAGGAGGATTTGGTAGCAAACCCTGGTGATTGGAGTGACCAATTTCAGGACCTTGTGGATCATATGGACTATTAGGTTCCAAACCATTGAGGAATGAGAAGTACTATAATCATCAACTAATCAAGTCCTAATTCACATTGCATCATGGTGGTACAGTTTGGTACTGTTGTGAACTACTTTTGGTTTTGGTTTCAGTTTTATGTGATGTTGATGATTAATGAGAATTGTTTTTATGCAGCAGGGAAGGTGGTAGTTGCAAAAGAGGGCAACAGATTCCAACTACTATTCTTATTTGGATCATTTGTTAAGTTTTATGAATATTCATTTTTCTACAAATCATTTCACTAGTATTTGGATGACCTATTTTTTGTTTGCATTGTATGTTATGCAGGATAAATCAATTGGGAGTACTTGAACGTTGTGATCCAAGTAGTTAACTGAGAATTGCAGTGGTATCATTGTTCAGGAGGGTAAAAACTATCATCTAGTTCTTCTTGTAGATTGGAGCCACATTTCTTCAGCATGCTTTTTTTCAATCAAGATTTGATATTAATAGGGTCATTTTCTTTGTCTTAATACCTAAAATATATAATAGTCTAAGATTCCATAGTTGTGTAACAACTCCAACTTGTTACTCAGATAAACCAGACACATAAATTTGAAACTTTAATATAAGTAGATTGCATATGTAGATACATAACATCTCTCCAAATATATTTTCGTTTATCGTAAGCTATTATAGATATATACATATTAAAAAATAAAACAAAAATAGGTTAGATAGCTCATTTAGCTTAAAATTCTAGATTGACTATTTGCATTATTTGTTTTCTTGTAAATATACAATAATGTCAATTAAAATAGTATAAGATAAATTAGTATATAATATAGTGTTATATTAATTAATTCATTAATAGCTTAATTTTATCTGATATTTTCATTATAAAATTTAACATTCGTTTTTCAATCTTTTTTTATATCTTAATACATGTGATTATAGAACATTAAACAGCTACATCAAACTTCTTGTTATAATAGTATTTTATTCATCACTACTTATTTTCATACATAAAGATACAATCTACACAAAAGTTTACCCTTCAAATCATGAATTCTTATTGTATTCATTTTATCATCTTATTTTTATTTAATTTCAAAAAAATGTCATACATACTTATTTAGATCACATCATCAACATACATTAAATAATATTTTTATGCTTAAAATTTATAAGTAGGAAAATATTTGTTTAGTAAGAAAATTCCTACTTAAATGACATTTTTTTTAAATATAATTTTGTTTTTATTTTTACTTAAGTTAATTTTTTACTATCACTTGGGGTTTGAATTTTGATTTATTTTTGCTTGAGTGAAAATTATTTGGCCAATTATTAGACTTAAGTTTTAATTTTTGTATACATTTTCGTTTGAACGATTAATAATTGTTTGAGTGAATTTTGTAGAAATCTAAATCAATAGAAAGAGAGATTCATTAAAAAACCATTCCTTATGATTTTTATTCCAAATTTTATTATGATTGAATTAATTTTACTCATTTTCCACAAGAATTGTCTACAATGAATCTTTACAACAACATTCTCAAATCAATTTAACTTAATTATACTCACAATAAATATCAATTTATGTCATCACATTTTCATACATAACCAAATTTTCATCTATGCAATTTAACATAACATTGACCAAATCACTTCTATAATCTTGTCTAGTATAATATTTTGAGAGTATATTAAACTATCCTTTTATTTAAGAGATCTTAATAAACAAATTAAATATATCATAATGAACTAAAATTATTAGAGATTCATTTTTGCTAAAAGAAATAAAAAAAGTCACATACAAAAATGTTTCCCGTTACACATGTAACATATTTTACATACAAGCAATTGAAGGAAAAGAATAGAGAACAATTTACTCTAAATATGATTCTGATGGGATAAAAACATCTTATTGTTAGTTGTACTATGATAGAAATATTACTGATGGGATAAAATCAATAGTTAGGGTGGTGAAGTTTTTTTGAATACTTATTATCATTTTGTTCTGTATTGGTTGGATTTTAGCATGAAGAAATATTACATAAGTATTTTTCGGTTGGGATGATTGAATTTACTGAAATGGTAAAATTTTTTTACTTATTTTTTTATAGTGTTTTTTTAGATCTTTGATCTTTAGAGTAATATTTTATCTCAAAAAGTTATTGTCTGAGTTTTTTTATCAATTATTGAGTTATTTTTTATAAATTTTCATATAAGGTTCTTAATAAGGTTAAAGTTTGTCCTAATTCATGGAATTGATTGGTACTATTGTTTTAAGGTTTTAATTATTCTACAACAAAATTTTTCAATGACTTTGTAGGAGTCAGAATCTTTGACCAGTTTGGTGTCTAATTAGGTTCTAAATTCAATTAGTTTAGCTCTATACTAGTTTGGAGGAATATCGTTAATAGCAAACTAAAGTCTTCCATTCAGTTTTGAAGAGATATTTGACTAGTAGGATCAGAGTTAACTTTTTTAGTAGAAGAGTAGTAAATAGGTTCATGTTTGACTTCTGATTTACATGTATTGGTCATTAGAATTTGAGTAAATCTTTATAATTAGGAATTTTTGTTTTTTACTCTTCAGATGAATACTTTTCAACAATTGTAGGAGTATTTTCAGGGGTTTGACAAGGTTCTATAGTCATTTGAGAGTAGGGATTTTGAGAGTCTTGAAAAATAAGATTAAATGGGTCTTGATGGATTTGTTCTTTTGGTAAAGGTTGGTCTTCATAAGAGGATCCTTGAAAATGTGAGATGATCTTCTTGCCTTTGTCTGGTTTTGGTGTTGTTGGTCTGAGCCATGGTTTAAAAATAGGAGTTGTAGGTAAAAATTAGGAAGTCTGTGTCGATGGGTGGAAGAATGAAGACGAATTTTGAAAAGAGGAGTAGGTTAGGGTTGAAGGAAACAGAGATGGATAAGGATCTTTCTCTATTCTTTGTTGCTTGACTTTGGTTTTAATATAATTATCCATTTCCTGGATTTGAGTTTTAAGTCTTCTAATCTCCTTTTTTTTCGCATGAGATAATTATTCGAAGATAGTGTTCTTCTAATTTTTTTCTAAGAGTTATGAGGAAAGTTTTTTACAATATTTTATCAGAGTTGAGTTGAGATGTTGGAGCTTATTATTAATTTCTTTAAGATGTGTTCAGATCTTATCTATCATTTGATCAATCCGCTACAAGATAGAGTTCTGGGCTCTGACATTTTCTGTTTGTCAGTTTAGTACTTCTTCAACCTGATTTAATGGTTTTGTTTTCTCATTTGTTTCGACTTCTTGATAAACAACATGTGGTTTGGTTATTGTCTTGGATACCAGATCAACCTTCTTTTCAATAGGAGGAAATTCTTCTTTATAAGTTCTTAAATTGATCATGTGCATGACAAAGGTTTTGCATCTTTCTTGTTTTTCAAAGAGGAGATTTTCCTCTTCAAAGATCTCCATATTTTTTGGAATTTTTTGTATTTCCATATAGGGTTTGGTTTCTCTTAGCGATGGAGGCCAATTCAAGGGTCTTTTTTGGGTTTAAACCTTTTGTTGAGAGAGAAATGAGGTTTGCAAGATCTCTAACCATAGTCATCATCTTTTTCTTTTAAGTCGTCGTCATTTTTATCATTGGTATCTCTTGTGTGGTCATATCAGTCATAGTTGGAGTCACACATCTGAATTTGCATCCCATATAAAATGTCCATTTATCTTATCTATAAAGATTGTCTTCCTGTTAGGATATATGCTGCTGATGAGAATCTTTCCTTCTTTGGTGACATGTGATATTATTATGTATTGAATATGAAGGTGCTTGAATTAGGGACATCCTTAATGTTCTTAGAGATGATTTTGACCATACTATCTATAGATCTTTTGAAAGTGGTTTCAATAAACTAAATTGGTTTTTGATTGGTACGAAGCTTCTCATTGTTGGTGATCCATTGCATAGGAATAAGCTTGTGCAGTTTTTGTTGTGAGATGTTTTTGGGGATTTGAACTATAAAATGTGTTTTATCTTGGTTATTGACCAAGACGAATAGTGTTCCATTTTTACAAGAAGATAGTGGAAGATTTATGACATGATCTTACAGTTTGCAGATTATTTAGTGATGAAGAGTTGTAGATTATCTAGTGATGAAGAGGGGCCGACAGGGCATTAGCTATTTTAATAGATTATAGGATTTTTTAAGTTAACATTGTAGTTAAGAAAGATAGTAAGATTATATTTCAATTTTTTAAATTAAGTGTTTTTATAACCATTTAAAACATAATTATATCAATTTTTTACCATTTAATAATATATTTTTAAAAGTTGTTCTTATTTACCTTCTGCGTATATATTTTATTACCATACTTTTTTCTTATTTAAAATAGTCATAATTTATCACTTTTATTATCAAAATAATAAATTAATGTTAAATGGATTTCCAAAACACATTATTAAACATTGTATATAGTAAAAAAGAACATGTTTGATCATACGTCGTAGGTATATATATAAATCAAAATAAATAATATCTTAATGAATTTAAAACGTTTATTTTCGTATATACGTATCATTTGTATTTATTTTCTAATATTCTTTTTATACTATTTAGTTTTGGATTCTCGGATTCAAACACACGTACAATTGGAATAAAAGAACACAAATCGAATTGAAATGAAAATACAAACGGAATTCAGTCATTGTAATTGAATTGAAAAGAATTAAAATGCAAACCAAATTCAACAAAAATTAAAATGCAATAGTATAAATGAAATTTAAATGTAAACTCAGCAACTAAAACAAAACTGAAATTTAAAAACAAAATTGAAATGAAAAAAATTTGGAATTAAAACATCAATCTACCAATATAAATGTATATGAATTGAAATATCATTATATTTTTGAACATTCATATGAATTAATCACACAATCATTAAACCTAATTCACAATTGATTATTGTCAAACTTTAATCATAATTTAATTTGATTTGTAAAACCTAACAAAATAAATCATAATCACAATATAATATTTTAAGAATCGGATGAAGATGAATAAATTCAAAATATGTGAATCAGTCACTATAAAACATAACTCCGCAATTCCTATGATATTCAATTTATAGATTAATTAAGGAAACCATTTAGCATTTCTATAGAAACATTATCTATTCATAGTTACAATAAATATGAAAATACAAAACAAAACTAGAAGATAAAATTCAAATTCAAAGAGGTAAAATTTCTTCCATATACAAAATGAAAATAAAAGTGTTTAAAGCATGTAACTATTGTTTATCTTTAGATCCTAAAGTGCTTGTATAGTTGTTTCAAAAGATAAAAAGTTTGAGTCGAAATGAATCTTATAAATCCAATCATAAAAGATAATCCGTATACAAAAATTTTGTATTTCTATTTGAATTTCTAAAATTAAAAAAAAAACAATTCTAAATTTCACGTTCCATATATATAAATTAAAGCACGGGAAATAAAAAAATCTAATGAGATAATAATTAACTAAACAAATACATACCCACAAAATTATGGCAAAAATAAAATAAAGATCAAATAAAAAAATATAAAATTAAAATATTTATTCATAATAAACTCACTTCTTATAAATGAAAAAGTATAAGAAAATATAAATAATAAGATATAGAAATTTAATTAAATATACAATAAGACTCTTAATATAAATATAAGATATATACTATCAAATATCTATGTAACTAAAATTTTTATTATAAAATGAAAAATATGTTATTTATATATGTAGTTTTAAAAATAAAAAATGTTGTCCTCAATTTCTTATTTTTTTTTCATTGTCTTATAAGGTTTTTATAAGGGTGTTAAAATATATTTAATCTGACTGAAAGGTATAAGAAATAAATTAGGTTAGATAAGAAAATCTGTGACCTTAAATATATATATATATATATATATATATATATATATATATATAATAAATTAATTTAATAAAAGATTTACTTGTTTTTAAACGTATATCTGAAAGTAAATTTTTAAAAATTACTTATTTTAAGATATAATAATCAAAATTAATTAATATTTTAGATTAATAAATTATTAGAAAATAAATGATAATCAAAAAAATAAATTTTAATTTTTATGAATTCTCTTATAATATATATATTAAATTATTATATCTTAAATAAAAACTAATTTTATTAATATAATTTAAGTTTTAAAAATATACTTTTATTTTTATTTACATATTTTTTTAATTAATTATTTTGATTTAGATATGTTAATATTTTAAAAAAATTAATTAGGACAAAATTAAGCTTTGATCTAATATAAAGGATTATTAAACTAAAAATTATGGTATATTTTAAAACATAGTAAGTAGACCTACGGAAATTTTTTATCAAATTGGGTTGAGACACTCATTTTAATAATTTAATTTTTTTTATAGAAATTAAGAAATATGATAGTTTTTATTAATTCTAAAATAATTATTGTCATATTATTACTTTTCATTTTTATTTTATAATAAATACGTTTAGTTACAGAAAAAAATATCTAAAATAAACATATAATTAATAAAAAAAAGTAAATTTTATCTTATTTTTGAAATTAATAAATAAATAAAAACTTTTTTTTTCAAAATCTAAAAATTAGTCGAAGGACATAAAGATATAATTAAGAGGAATAATTTTCATCTTCAAAAATTTAGATTCACTTTCTAAAATTTAAACCCACCGAAAATTGCTTAAACACTCCAACATGATCTTTCCCAAAGATCATGCCACCCAACAATGTTTTATCCCCATTGATCGATTGTAGCATCGACGCATCACTTCACACCTTCAACTATCCAAGTGATCAAATCCCAAGTAACCCTATCCTCAATTCCAGGTACAACACCTGCCACGTCATCACAAAATCTCAATTTCCCACCTCATATCTGATTCCACCGGCTATCTAAAATTCTAACCCTCACTCACAACAAGTTTCACGAATAATCGAAACGACACCAAAAAATGGCTTCTCTCTCCGTTTCAATGGCTCTGCCACTCAGCTCCCCCACCAATAACAGGTCAAAGTCAAACCCTCCCTCCTCCGAAGCCTTCTTGAAGAGGAGTGTGGTGAAGAACTCATCAGAGCTAAAGCCCCAAAAACTCAACGTGGAAGCTTCTTTGAAGGAAAACGCAGTGAAGGGTCTCACTGCTGCTGCAGTAACATCATGCATGGTGATTCCTGAAGTGGCTCATGCAGCGGGAAACGACTTCTCTCCTTCGCTTCAAAACTTTCTGCTAAGTATTGCTGCCGGCGGGGTTGTGCTCGTGGCGATATTTGGTGCTGTTATTGGCGTCGCCAACTTTGATCCAGTTAAAAGAACTTGAAAGTGGTGTTGTATGAACTTTACATTTCTTTTGGTCATTCATTCCTCTGTTTTAACATTTTGTGTTTCGTGTAGTTTATGCAACCATTTATATATGCTACACTGCGTTTACTATTTGTCTATATATCACAATCCTGCACTTGAGTTGAGACCAAATTTTTGTGGTTGCACTGTTTCTTGATGTCAGATATTGCAGATGAGTGAATTAGTTTATATGGCAGCAATTGCAGTAGAAATATGCAGTTGGGAGAAATTTTATAATTCCTAATAATTGAATAAAAATAAGACTGTTTTTTGCCATATGGGTTCATTACTTTGAACTTGGAGCATTAATCGAATGTAGCTTAAGGAAATTGCAAACAATAGTAAGACATTGACAGAATTATTTGATTGATGCTGTTGTTCTTATTGTTTTGAATGTCCAGTCCTTCCAATATCTTTGTATTCTGTACAGCAAATTCCAACATACTCTAACACCAATTTACAAACGAAAACATGCATGATAATATGCATGGATTACAAAAATTGAAAGTGCCCTATGATTATTAACTTTGATGTTAAACCTGGACTGTACCACGCAATAATTTGAGGTGAGAGTCAGAGTATGCAGGAGTTTCTGTATTCGACTTCAAAGGTTGCTCCATTCATAGTCTCATTCAATTTAAAGTGTTATCCGTTTGGACTTTATGTAAATTTTCACAGTTTTGTTCTAAAATGGTAACAAGATGTTATAAATTACTTTTTCAACTTAATTCTTGAATAATGCAAGACTTTTTAGTGTACTGAAAGTGTAGCTTTCATTTAAGGCTAAGGAAAATGTGAGTTTCAACTCAAAACTACTACTTTAGTACATCAAAAAAGATCTAACTTGATTTATTTGAATTAAAACTAAAAATAATTTATGAACACTTAGTTCTTTTTAACCTATTGTACTATTTTCAAAGACAAAACTGTGAAAACAAAAAGAGTCCAATCAGATAATACTTCAATTGAAATGAAACTAATGATGCAACCTAGAGGTCGAAACAATTTCCGTCAATCTATGGCTTGAAACGTTAGAGGCGAAAAGCCATTCCATGTCCAGGAATAAATCTAGCGTTTTCTTCCGTATAAACATGAGTTTCATTCTGCAGACTGCAACAATGATAAAAAAAAAAGGTGACTATGTTGATATCACCATCTGAATTGTTCACTGAATAATGTTGTGATAGGGGAAGTTAACTTGGTTTAAGATGGTCTTAAATTTTATTCGAGATTTTGGAGTTAAATCGCTAGTACTTACGATTGGTAAACAGTTTTATTCATGGTTGTAGATGAATGGAACCAAGCACCATTTAGATAGAGAAGTTCCCCGTCTATTCTTGTTGCGATTCTTTTATCCATTTCTTCAGCACAAATTGATAGTGGTTGATCCGAAGCCTAAATCGAAAGCATAGAAAATCTTGTGAAAAATATTTAGGAGTACTTCATTTCAGTGAATCAGATATTTGTGGAATACTTTATCATAAGTACAAAGAGAAACAAGGTTGTCTTTTTCACATACCATAACCCATCCCCATGTGTCAGCAAATGATGGTACATGAGTTGTGTATGCAATCACATCTGCACCAAAAAAATCTCTTTAGTTTCAATTAAAACACAACATCCTGTGTTATTCTAACTCTGTTAATGACATCTGAAATTCATGGGTAGTCTTACATTTGAAGACTTGTTTGATTGTGTTATATATGGAAGTGAAGACCTCTTTGTGTGTGAAGATACCTGCTGGTCCAGCCTACAAAAGATACAATTTTTGTGGTCAAACTTTGTTGGGTAGGTGAGTATGAAAACCAAGAGTTTCTTCTCATCATGACTTAAAAGGGTGTTATGCGTAATCGACCTGAGTCACAAAAATGCCATTATCATTTAGCTTGGGCTTCAGTGTCTTCTCATAGAAGGACTTGGTGTAGAGTTGATAACAAGGCCCATCTTCAAGTGGGTCTGCCAAATCTCCAACAATAATATCAAACTTCTCCTTTCTCTTCACCAATTCAGCCCTTCAAAAATGTTACATGTTGGATAGATATTTATTGTTATTGTTAATATGGCTATGATTAAAAGATTACAAGTGAAGGATAAAATGTAAAAAAAAAACATTAATAAACAAAAACAAGTTACCTACTTGGCATCATTGATGACAAGGTCGAGCTTCTTATCAGAAAATGCTTCCCTATTTGCAATCAAGTATTTCCGGCAGAAATCCACCACCTCCTGCAAGAATTAGTATTTAAAACTTGAAATTTTATTAACCTTAATCAACGGCGGATTTTGAACATTAATCTTGAGAGGGCCAAATAATATATTATTAATAAATAATAAATAAATATAAAAAGAAAAAAAAGATAAAATGGTGAAATGATAAAATTGTAGATATATACTTAAATATATTAAATGATCATTAAGTTTGAGGAGGACAAAATAATAAATTATATAAGAGTTACAAAACTGAGAAAGGGCTGAGAGGTTAAAATTATAAATAAACAAGTAAATATATTAAATGTTCATTAAGTTTGGGAGGATCAAATTCATATTCATAAATTACATAGGAATTATAAAACTTTGGGGGTGTTACGGCCTCCTTTAGCTCTCAATAAGATCCGCCACTTACCTTAAAAATATAGGATATATTATAAATTCTTGTTCTAACATTTCACATTTTTTTTTTATAAATTAATGGTATCCTATTCAGTAGATGATAAAGCTGTTTAGGGTTTGTAAGAGATGTCTTGAGAACTTTTAGGAGAGAAATAAATTAAAATTAATTGTAGTTTTTATTTCCTCTTATAAATCTTTTTATAAAAAAGTTTGATGTCAACTTGTCAATCATTCAATAGTTATAAACTTCCGACAACAAAGTCAAGCACATTCTATATTTATAAAAAAAAAAAAAAAAAAGTGCATCCTTAATATATTGGCATGTGAATATGGATATAATTAACTTTTGAATTTGATGAACGGCTAAGGAAGAAATGAATAATGCATGGCACAGAAGTAACAAACCTTGTCTATATCACACATGACCACTCTGTCTATTGACCTGTGCTTAAGGGCTTCCCTTGCTGCAGAACCTTCACCTCCCCCATTATGAACACAGTCTTGGGACTGCCACAATCATCAACATTTGTCTCTTCATATTAGTCAAGGGGTTCATAGGTCCAATCATGTCGACCAAGAACCATAATCATCTACTAGTATCTATAAGTGTATTATTATTCTCTCAACTAGATTTTATGAACTAAGCATGATACTTGAGTTCCATGAAAAAAAAAATGTGGATATTAAAGAAATTTTCGTTTAAATAAGATTTTAGCAAAATGATATATTTAGTTCTTGGATAAATTTTTCTTTTTGTTTCAAGGTCATATTTATTAATACTTATATGAAAAATTGTTTAACCATAATTTATCAAAGGCATATTTACAAAAACTAAATAATTTGACCAAGTTTTAAAATTTCAGCACCATAGTACTACTTCGTGGGATAACTTTTCATGAAAAGTGTTAAAAATATATTTTCTTACTAATCATTATTAAAGAGATTGACAAATATATGCATAATAAAAATTATATATATATATATATATATATATATAAGTGAAAAATTATGAAAAAAAACAAATTATATATCTGTCGTGGTCACTATCTTATGTTATCATTTAATATATTCTTCTATTTTAAAATATATGAATTTAAGATTTGATTTATAAAAATTAAATAAATATTAATTTTTATTACTTTTAATAAATTCATTAATTTTTTCCATTAATATTCTTATTATCTTAATTCTTTCAAAAAATCAATCATAATAACTTAATATTTTATCTTCCAAAATTCCATATTTATATAAGCCATCGCGTTTACACCTACCTATTTATATGAAAAATATATATCAAATTATGCAAAAATTTATATATAATATTTAATTTAAATTAGAAATAAATACTAAAGTTGTAATTAATTTATAAAACATAATCAATATAGTATTCTCATTTCACCCAAAGAAAAAGAGATTTGTCAAAGCTAGACTAAGAATAACATGACATATTTAATATTTGGAACTTAGAACATTTTCTATACTTTTGTAATTGTTAGACTTTATGTAATTTCAACATTGGTGTGATTGTGTCAAAAGCCATCATCGTTCTTAACAGTTTCGAGGAAGTCAAACAATTGTACAAGCCTTTTAAAATTTTTAGAAAAATTCCATGTAACATTGTAGACACAGCACAATGAATAAATGAACTCTAAGATGATTCAACCATGGAACATGCTCTTACTTAGGGTGGCACAAAAGAGGAGGGTGAATCAAGCATTCATGATAGATAAACTCGTCCGTTTCAGCACTCTGCATCTTTCCATCAAGTACCAAGGCCTGCAACATCAATAATTATCATCAACTAAGTAACTAAAACATTTTTTTTTTTTGTAGTAGATAAGACACATTAAATATGACGTGAAAAGTTTCATAATTATTTCACCCCAAATCAGATTTTATTTTTATTTTTTTCTCAATATTGTTTAAACCAATACTGCAAGTAGAATAGAAGAAAGAAATTCATAATCTCAAATTTGTTTGTTTTTGTTCTGCCTTGTGAAAAGCAGAAGATAACCTTTCCAAAAGGCTTGGTGTCCAATAAAGCTATGTCCTGGTACTCGCTAATCGCTTTATGCAGCACACTGTTGAAACAATAGAAGAAAGAATATAAGATAAAATAAACGAATTAATCTCACGAAAGAAATAAAATGATAGTAATTTTTGTTTGAACTCTTATACATTGAACTGGATGAAGCAATGAATGACGACGGACCTGTTGAGTTTAAAAGACCACTTGAGGTCTTCATCGATCATTTCCTCGTACCAAGAGGATTCGTGGTTCTGATCGTTGACATGGTTTTGTTGTTGGGTTTCGTGGCCAAACTTGGAGAACCCATTGATGTAGAACACTTCGGGAGCTTCACCCATGTTTGGAAGAAGAAGAAAAAGAAGAAGAAAAAGATCAACACAAAAGTGATTTCAGAATTGGATGAAAAGTGCAATGTGGTGGTAATGGAGTTGCGGGGTGTGCCAATAGTGGGCAGCACTTGCTTTTATAGCTACCTCATCGTGAATTAAAATTCGATTTTGTGTGTGTACAAGGACACGTCATCAGAAAAATTATTAAATATTTTTGTTTCATTTAAAAATTAGATATTTCTATTTCAGTCATTAAGATCTTTACCCTAATGGTAGTAATACTCTTGCTAATCACTGTATTACTACTCTTAACAAATTGAAGATGTTCGGATTTGAAGAAAAGTATAGAAGTCCACCCTTCAACGTTTTAATTAGTTTTTAAATAAGAAAAAATTGATATACATAAAAATGAGTTATAAAATAAGAATTAGTATGATTAGATTCTTTTATATAATATTCAAAAAATAATAATAGATTAAGATATAATAATTAATAATTTATAAAATAATAATTAATATAAAATATTATAATAAAATAAAAATAATTAATAATAAAATAAATAAAAATAATTTCGTTAATAAATTTAGGTGACGGTAGGTAGATATTGGATATATATACTTACACACGTCTCTAATAATACAAATAGTTTAATATACTTTACCGACAACATGTCATATTATGTGACACTAATGTAGTCTTTAAATTCAGCATCTGGGCCTCATAGTTTCCACCGTTTGATATATAATTTAATTCAGATAATCATATCATTATCGTTGCCTTTTGTTATTTCATTACATGTGTTATGTTCTTGTGATGGAGCTTAAAAAAGACTCAATAGCCTTAATTCAAAACGGGGTACTTATCATCTTTTCAAATTCAGGTTGAACTTAATTAATTTTCAGAATCAGTTTCAGTTATTTGAGAGAAAAAAAAATGAGAATTGAAAGTCTCGTATTAAAAAAAGATGTTCAACAGTTAAATTTAAATAGGATTTCATAATTATATGGTAGATTTATAACACATGTAAAATGTTTTAAATATAATATATTAAATCATAATATTTTTTAATAATTTAAATATTTTATAATAAAAAATACTCATTTATTAAAAAAATAAATATATTAGTAAAAGGATAAAAACTATTTATTATTAATTAATTAAAAATAATATTTAAATTATTATAAAAATAATTAATTAATTAACTAATAATAAAAAGATAAAATTAAAAAAAGATAAGGTAAGAATATTTATCTCTTTAAAAGAGATAAGCATAAAAAAAAGTAAAAATTGAAAATTAAAATTTTTATTTATCTCTTTCATTAAATGTAAATTAAAAAAAAATCTTAGTTATAAATAGGGGTGGAGAGAATAAAGGAATAAGAAAAGAGACAAAAAAGAAAGAGAGAATGAGAAAAAGAGAAGAAAAATATATAAGACATCTCATGAAAAGTTTAATATATAGAAATGAGATATTTATTTTTATATTTGTTAAAATAAGGGAATGAGATATTTATTATTATGTTTATTTATTTTTAATTATGGTTGTTGAGTGGGGTGTCGAAGTCTCTAATCTCATCTTATTTATTTTATTCTATTTTATTTATTTTTAGTTGCATATTAATCTTGTTTTATATTTATTTATTTATATTTAATTACGCATTGGTCCTATTATATTTATTTATTTCATCTTCAGTTACACATTATTAACGTTTTATATTTATTTATTTATCTTCGATTACACACTGATTCTATCTTGTATTTATTTATCTCTAGTTACACAATGTTCCTCTTTTATATTTATATTTATCCTCAATTTCACACTTGTACTTATTTATTAATTTATATGTATATTTATATTATTAGATTATTGTTTAAATTTTATTAAAGAATAAAATATTTTATTTATGAAGATTTTGTAGATAGAGGTTGAACCTTGGAATTTAAAATGAGTAAATATCACTTAAAGAGTGATCAACTTTAGGTTCATTTATTCTTACTAGTCATTACCAAAATCAATTCAAATCTTCAAAATATAAAATAAATACAATATGTTGATAAAGTTGAAAAGATGATTTTATATATGATTTTGAGATTATATTACTTTTCATGATAATTATTCTCACTTTCCTATTATTATCTCTTTTGCATGTTATAACTAAAATATCAACCTAAATAAATTGAGGCGAGACAAGTATCGTTGATAAATCAACTACTCTTAAAAAATATTTGTTAATTTTAATAATTTTTTCTAACAAAGAAACAATGTAAACTTGTAAAGTTCATATATTTATACATATAAATGTATAAACACTTATCTCTTGTCTTTTGTCAAAATTTAATGAAAATTAATAATATCTTAAAATATAGTTAAATTAACAACGTGATAAAGAGCACGTCATATTAGATGGTATCGAGTAATATTTTATGTGTAATCTGTGAAATGAATCTATCATATAATCTTACGAACCCTAAATTGTATAATTTTATATTGTCACATTAGATGGTATTAAAGCATCATTTCATGTGTGACGTGTGAAATAAATTTATCATATAATCTTACGAACCCTAAATTGTATAATTTTATATGATAAATAATAGGGTAAACAATCAGTTCACAGAAGCAATACAAGATATCAAAGATATGGTTGTTGCACTATTAAAGAACTAAAGGCCCGAAGGAACCAATAAATCACAAGGTGATATATGTCATTTTACTCTTTATTTCTTTATATAAAAGCATTTTCTAAGCTAATTATTTTCTTCATAAATCATGCATTTAACATGTTTTCATTAAAAACATAACATAAATTATTTTTTCTTAATTTGTTGCATTTTGCATAATTTTAGCATAAAAATTAATATACATGTATACATCCACAATACATATTTCTTTTTTTAGGAGAAAGGTAATTAAAGATGGGTCTAATTGATGAAAATAAAAACCCAAATTGATGCAATCGAACTTCACTTTTCTTGAAAGCCCAAGTTTGTTTATGCAGCTCACTTGCAAAATGTTACAAATGAAAATTTTGAATTAAGCCAATTAACTTACGTGGGAATCCAATTTAACTAAATTAAAGGTCAGCAAGAATCAAGAATAAAATGCAAATCAATGTTGAATCACTCAAAATAGGAAAGAAACATTTTTTTTTTCAAATCAATCCCAAAAATTTCTCCTCACAGCAATCCGATTTTGCAACTTTTAATTTGGAAAATAATTAATTTCAGACTTAATTTCTCTTGTTTAATCCATTATCAATAGAGGTCTATGAGAACATAATTATAATCTCCTGGGGTAAACTATTATTTTGTCTCGTCCCCATTAACATAAAAAGAAACAAATTTGAGATTATGAATTTCTTTATTCTATTCTACTTGTAATATTAAGGAAACAAAAAAGGAGGGAAAAGGTTATGATTGTGATTGTGTTCTCATCATACCTCTATTTATAGGGGATTGAACAAGAAAGTTCAAATATGAAATTAATTACAATAAAATCAAATATTTCCCAAATTAAAAAATTGGATTGTTGTGATGAAAAATTTTTAGGACTAATTTAGAGGAAATAATTCACTTCTTTATTATTTTGAGTGATTCAGCGTTAATTTGCATTTAATTCTTGATTCTCGTTGATCTTTCCTTTAGCTAAATTAGATTTTTGCAATAGTTAATTTGCTTGATACAAAATTTTTATTTGTAACATTTCGCAAATGGGTTACACAAGCAAACTTGGGCTTCCGGTAATAGTGAAACTCGACTGCATCAATTTTGACCTTTATTTTAATCAATTTGGCTCATTTCAAATTATCTTTCTCTCAAAAAAGGAAATAAATATGCACTGTGGATATATGCATGTATTTTTTTTTAATGCAAAAACTATGTAAAATGCAACAAATTAAGAAAAATTGAATTATGTTATGTTTTTAATGAAAACATGTTAAATGCATGTTTATGAAAAAAATAATTAGCTTAGAAAATACTCTTAGATCAAAAAATAAAAAGTAAAATGACACACATCACTTGGACATATACTTTCTGAATGTTGGCAACAAAGACCAAATTTCATCTCATCGACACCTAAGGCAAGACCTACAATAATAGGGAGAGTATATACCATGACTGGAGTTGAAGTCCCTCAAAACAATTATTTGATTCAAGATATGTGTTTCACTAAACATAAAACTTTGAATGTATTTTATGATTCGAGCACAACTCATTCATTCATTTTCAATGATTGTGTTCGGCATCTTGAATTGTTAACTTTTTTCTAGACACTAGTTTAACAATTTCAACTCTTACGAGTAAATATGTAATTATCAATAAAGTTTGTCTAGATTGTTCATTGTTCATTGAAAATAGGAAATTTCTTATAAATTTAATTTGTCTATATTTATCTCAATTAGATATAATCTTAGGTATGGACTGGTTATCTTCCAATCAAATCCTTCTACTGTGAAAAAAATCAGTAATATTTCAAAATCTGAGGATCTTTTGAATTCCTTTACCAACTTAGTAAGTGAAACTTTAAAGAATGAAGTTCAAGAATATTTGTTATTATCTTCTATGGAGGTAAAGGGAGAAGTTGATTTGAAAAATAGAATAGTTGTTCAAAATTGTCTTACGGTGTTTCCTAATGATATTCCTAGTTTACCACCCAACACAGAGATTACATTTTTAATAAATTTGATGCCTATAACTTGACCAATTTCTATAGCACCATATAAGATGTCACCCTTTAAACTAACAGAACTGAAGAAACAATTAGAAGAATTACTTGAGAAATATTTTCTTTCTATAATAGATGATTTTATAGATCAATTAAGGAGAGTTTTTGTATTTTCTAAAATATATTTAAGATCAGGATATCACCAAATTAGAGTAAAGGCATAAGATGTACAAAAAATTACATTTAGAACTAGGTATAGTTATTTTGAATATCAAGTGATACCTTTTGGTGTGACCAATGTGCCTACAATATTCATAAATTATATGAATATGATTTTTCGCCC